TAGATGATCTTTTGAGGTGCCTTCCAATCCCGAACATTCCGTGATTCTGTGATTAGAGGGGAAGCCGTACAAGGACAGGCTGAAGTCTCTTGGTTTGTTCAGCCTGGAGAAGAGGAGACTGAGAGGAGATCTCACCACGGTCTAGAACTTCCTCACAAGGGGAAGAGGAGAGGCAGGCACTGATCTCTTCTTTCTGATGACCAACGATAGGACCAGGGGAAATGGCAGGAAGATGTGCCAGGGGAGGTTCAGGTTGGACATTAGGAAAAAGTTCTTCACCCAGAGGGTGGTGTTGCACTGGAACAGGCTCCCCAGGGAGGTGCTCAAGGCACCAAGCCTGACAATATTCAAGAAGCATTTGGACAACGTGTGCCCTCAGATACACGGTCTGAATCTTGGGATTGTCCTGTGCAGGCTCAGGAGCTGGACTTGATCCTTGTGGGTCCCTTCCAACTCACAGCATTCTATGATTTTATGATTCTACGTCTGCACTTTCTTCTGCTTGCTGAACACAATTCTTCCACATGTGTCATTTGAGAACAGTCTCTCATTTGCCCTTTCTTCTATGGTTACTAGTTATCACGTCCTTGCACTCACACTCTCATTCATATTAAGAGCATTATAGCTATTAATATTCCTAGCTTCCTTGCTAAAAATGATACCTGTGACTGGATGGAATGCTAATGGCTCAAATACATACTTCATTTCAGCTTAACACACAGAAAAACTGTAATTTGAAAGGTAAAGGAGCATGAAATGTTAGCCCAGCTCCTCCACTTCCATAAAGTTTTTAAAGCCTGCATGACAACAGAGAAATTTTGGGAAATCACTGTGTTAACAGTTGACTGAAGAGAAGATGGGTACATTTTAAACGTCTTTACCCTGTGTTGACAGAAAGCTCCATGGATTACATTAAAATAACAGTACACTAATGCGTTTATCAGGGCAAGTTGTCAACCAAAATCAGAAAGAGTAAGCATAAAACAAGAAGCTTTGAAGTCAGATGTAAAAATATTTTTTTTCTTTTTCTTTTGCACTTGCTCAAATGTTACTAACAGCTGAACATTGATGGTGGTCTCCTTGAGGCCGCAGGTAAACATTTAGAGAGCAGAATTCACATTTATATATTTTTCCAACTTAAATTTAGTATATAAAAGGGTTCTCTGTCATGTAGGGATTGGAGCACATCTGATATGAGGACAGGCTGAGGATGCTAGTAATGTTTAACTTGGAGAAGAGAAGAGTTGAGGTGGCCAATCTTATCAATGTGCATAAATACTTAATAGCAGGAAATAAAGAAGACTGAGACAGACTCTTCTGTAAGAGCAGTCAACCACTGGGACAGGTTGCCCACAGTGGGTATAGAGTCTTCATCCTCAGAAATAATAAAAATCAGCAAAGATGTGCTCTTGAGCAGCCTGCTCTATTCGACCCTGCTTTGAAGAAATCAACTAGATAATCTCCAGAGGTCCCTGCCTCTGGAGTGAGCTAGATTTTGTCTGAGACAATGTTTCACAGATTAGTACTAATCAAATCCTCTGCTGAACAGAAAAAATTATCATCTGTTTGGTAACTTCATGCAGTGACAACAGTAGCATTATTAACAAAAGCAGCATAAAACAAGCATATAACTAAAACATACATCTGTTACTGTATCCACAGGACACAACAAAGCGCTGCAAAGGAAGCAGCAAGTAGGATCCTCTCAGCAGAATCAACCATAGCCAGAATATAATGCTGGCCAGGTAAATACTGCATCTTTTTTATCCAGTTTCTCTGTAGCTACCACTCAGACTGCATCACACAGAGGCAGGGTCAACTAGACCAACTGTCCAACAGGGAAGGGCAACTCAAAACCATAGGCAGTAAGCTCTGGGAAAAAAATGCCCCTGGATTCAGGGTGAGGAATGTGATACCACCAGTCCTAACTACCTCCAATTTATAAGTGGGGTCTGCAGGGATGGCCTCTGTGAGGAGTGGCCTGGGCTGCTCCATGCTGGACATAGCCAGCTCCAACAAACCCACTGCACGCCACAGCTGAGCCAGTCAAGATGGTTGCATTTCTAGGAAAACCTATGTAAGAAAAGGTAAAAAAACACTGCACAGCAGCTGTGAGAGGAGTGAGAAAGTGTGAGAGAAACAGCCCTGCAGACACTAAGGTGAGTGGAGAAGGAGGAGGAGAAGGTGTTCCAGGTGCCAGAGCAGAGATTCCGCTGCAGCCCATGGAGAAGATCACAGTGGCACAAATATCGGCACTGCAGCCTGTGGCCTCCACAGGTCCACATGCAGGTGGACATGCCCTGAATAGATGCTGCAGCCCATGGCGAAGAGCCCTCACAGCAGCAGGCTTGTAGCAGGAGCTGCAGCCCCTGGGGGACCCTCACTGGAGCAGTCTGCTCCTAAAGGATTGTATCCTGCAGAAAACCATGTTCTTGAAAGACTGTATGCCATGGCAAGGACCCACGCAGGAGCCGGGGAACATTTTGGGGATGAATGAGCAGCAAAAAAGAGCTGTTGCAGACAGACTGCAACTCCCATCCCTATGGAGAGGAACTAGGCTTTTCTTTGAAAGTCAGAGTTACAAAGCAACACTTCTGGCTCTTCCACTCCACCATTTTTGCAAGGGTATGTTTTTTTAAAAGAATGAGCATCCTTAGAAGCTCTATTTAGTAACGCTTTAGAAATAATGTGCTTAGGATGGAGATATGAGAAGAATGAACATAATGTAAAGCTTTTTGTTTAAAGATGAACAGATTTTAAAATAAATGCATAAGGAGAAAGGGCTTCACCAAGAACACATAAGAGAAATTAAATTAAACAAATAAGATTAGAGTATTACATAATATACTCTAAGTATATTACCAGATTGCATTCAGGTCAAGAAGGTCCGTGCTAGCCTCAGCTTGCATTTTAAGAAGTGGCTGTACTATAACTTGACTTGCTCATTTCTTTTCCAAGGCTTCCAGACAATCTTTAAAATCGAATACAATCAAAATAGCATTCTGCCATCTAGAAAGTAAATCTAGACATGTCTGTGTACTCTTAGTTCTAAGAGCTCCCAGAGGAAACTCCAACTCCTAACAGAAAGTTAGCAATGCTAGAAATCCTCTTGCATCATAAATATTAGCATGACACTATACAGGAAAACCCTTGCTACTTGGTGCCTTTGTATCTGCATTCCCAGAATATATAGCTAATTAAAACAGTGAATCTATTAAGACACTAATCCACCTTGACTAAGCTGAAAGAGAAATGCACAGAGCAGCAGAAACTATTAAGAAACAGAACAACAGAAGCACACTTACCTAAATTTAAGAAATCTGAGCTGGAAGAAGGTGGAAGTGAACTGTGTGTAGAAGGAACTGTACTAGCTGTAGATGTTGAGCTTGGATTAAGAAAGTCCCCAAAGAGGTCTGAACCAGGCAGGGTTTGATTCTCTGAATTCGATGACATTGTGAATGGGTCAAACGGATCAGCTAAAAAAGAAGCAGAAAACAAAATTATCTTCTGACAAACTTTTAAACAAGCAAAGTTTAAAAAGCCTTACTCCTCTGGTGGCCCAGACAGAAAGTAGAGTTCATGCTGGTAACTGCAGCAGCCTTCTGAGAATTTTTTGTGGCGAAGAGTCACCCTCTGTCCCTTCCTCTAGACATCTGTACTCTTATGTTGGTACAAAAAGTATTTCAGCCGTACACAATATGAACAGCTATGTCTTCAAACACAAATCCTTAGCAAGGTTGCATAAATTCAAAAATATTGTTAATTTCATCCATGTAAGACACACCTTAAATCTGAGTGATCATCCGCATACAAACAGAAGAATTACATGTGTTAAATGCTCTACAATGCCAAACCTCCAAAGAATTTAAACAAAACAGACTATTAAATTGCTAAAAAGAATAACAAATAAAGCATTCATACTACCACTTTGACTTGAAGGCATTGGTGACTCTGGGGCAGAAAGTGTGTCAGCTCAAGAATGAAAACCAAGAGAAGCCAGGCTCTCAACAGGTCTCTAGTGATCACAACGAAGTAAAAACTAATTGGAAGAGTATTTATAGTCAGCGTGGAGTAACACGTGACAGTCAGCTGGAATCACAGCTCGAGATCTTCCTGTTTCTGCTGCCCTCTAGGGTCAAAATCCTCAAGAGCCCAGGGACTCTTGCAAGATTCACTTAGAAGCTGAAGAGAAGGAATAATCCTGCCATAGTTCCCTAGTGTATCCTGAGGTGATGACCACATTGAACAGGCCACTTAGCTCTTGTGAGAGCCCACCTGGAGTACTGAGTCCAGTTCTGGGGCCCCCCAACACAAGAGAGACATGGACCTATTGGAGTGAGTCCAAAGGACGGCCACCAGGATGATCAGGCTGATAAGGACAGGCTGAGAGAGTTGGGGCTGTTCAGCCTGGACAAGAGAAGGCTCTGGGGAGACCTTACAGCGGCCTTCCAGGACCTGAAGGGGCTACAGGAAAGCTGGGGAGGGACTTTTAACAGGGCAGGTAGTGACAAAACAAGAGGTAATGGCTATAAACTGAAAGAGGGTAGGTTTAGATCAGATATTAGGAAGAAATTATTTCCTGTGAGGGTGATGAGACACTGGAACAGGTTGCACAGAGAAGCTGTGGATGCCCCCTCCCTGGAAGTGTTGAAGGCCAGGTTGGATCAGGCTTTGAGCAACCTGGTCTAGTGGGGGGTGTCCCTGCTGATGGCAGGGGGGTTGGAACTCGATGATCTTTAAGGTCCCTTCCAACCCAAACCATTCTATGATTCTCTGAAGAAAGAAATACTTGAAATCACTTAAGTGCTCTATAAAAACACTTTGCAGCTGTATGCAGAATAAAGTTTTTAGACCAAGTGAATTATCTTGGTGCAAATAAGCTAAACCTTGTAACAGTTTCCCAGTTTATTTGACTAATATTCCTAAAAACCTTCCTGTAACTTCAGGCAGAGAATTGCTATTCCCAGAAGTTCAGCAATGTGACAAAGAGCTAAGTGTCTATCACTAAAAGGAACAGAACTTCTAAATTAAATCACCTTGTTTGAAACACCAAATAGATGGCAGCCTGCAACATTCTCTTTCAGGATACAGACCAGCCAACGTCATCAATAAAACCAGCACAAAAACACCTTTTAGCAGTACTGTTATCCCAGTGGTTCTAACAGTAATCTACCAGATTTCCAGTGGCATAGCAGTCTTACCTGATTGACACCTCAAAATCCCACAGAGACATTTGATCTAAGCAGCACAGCTCTGTACCACATCTAATTCTATTGCTTTACATAAAGTGCAAGAAAGCAGTAAGTTATTACAATTCTACGTCTTCATAAGAGAAATTATTTTCACATGGATTTACAAAAGGATCTAGCATGTAATGTCTGTAGGGGAAGGCTATGGATTCTTTAAGAATACTGAATCTCTTTTAAATTAGAGACTTAATACTTTTCTGTTTACATGGTTTAAAGCTAACAGAATATTGACAACATAACCAAAATACCTGGATAATACATAGCAATTTGTCTCCTCCATGCAATAAAAACACCTATTCTATACAGATTCTTGCTATAGACCAACATTTGTTCAGTGTACAGTTTAAAACATGGTACTCATTTTCTAAGCACAATGCAAGCAGCATTTTTTTATCTGTTGGCCAGTCAAAGCGTACTGATGTTAAATTTACATACCTGAAGACATGGCTGCTGCTGAAGATGTACCCTGAGTAGCAGCTGGACACTGACTGCTGAAAAAGAAATCTGCTCCTTGTCCAAGAAGATCTCCAGTGGGCTCTTCTGAAATCTGTGATGCATTACTCACAAACAGATTGTTCAACAAGTCTGCATTACTTGATGAAGAGTTTATTTCTGAAATAGGTTGTTTCTGTGCTGGTGAATTATCAGAGTTCAGTCCCAGTAAGTCTACATTCTCTTCAGGGAGAGACTTTTGTAATGGCACTTCAAAAAGCAACTCTCCCTCTGAAGTAGAGTCTTTTTCATCAACAATTACTGTGCTTTCTTCACCTGGAAATGTAGAGAATTCTTCATCTGAAGGATCACTCTCATCTCTGTCATCAGATAGCTGAACACGATCATTTTTAGATGAACTGTCCTCTACTCCACTTTCTGGACTTTTTCCTTCTTGAATAAAAAGAAATAACAGCTTTAGACTACCAGGATTCTTCTGCCAACTAGGATAAGAAATACTTTTATGGTAAGATCATATGAAATCAATCCTTAATTAACCAAAGTTCGCAAAAGAATTGATTAAAAAAGGAAAACTAACTGTTGCCTACCACCTCTCTGTACAGGATGGGCAACGGGGCAGCTCACTACCACACTTGCTGCTCTGCAAGGGCACACATTACAAATTTTTTCAAAATGAGACTGACTTGGACATTCACCTCAGGACATCGTGCCACTTATGGCTTTGAAGATCACTCAGTAACTGCTGCTCCACTCAATGACTGCATTCAATGACAGCATAAGCAGTTACTGACATCCTTGCCAACAAAGCAGAACCCATAAAAAGGACTTATACATGTACTATAAAGTTGTATTTTCTCAGTCCCTGCATGCTGATGTGCACCCCACTGGCTAGTCAGCTTTGTTTCCTCTGTTCCTCAGCCAGCCTAAGTGGGGCTGTGGGAATACAAAGTTTTTTTGCTGACCTTTAAAGCTAAGATTTTTGCAGAAAAAGAAAAATGGAGCTCAGCATTTATCCAAATGAAGCGGAATGACCACTTGTTAACCTGCAGAGCTCACTCTCTAAATAGCTTTTTCTCATTGTCTAGTGAAATAGTGACTTCTGCTGCGTAAGAAAGCTTAAGCATTCACTGGAAGGTGTAAAAGACAACAAACATATGACAAATAGTTACTTCAGAGGAAAACCTGTACCTTTCCAGTCCAGAGAAATAAAGAAGTTATTTGCATCGGTACTACTGCTGTGTGGGGATTCTGTCTCAGTAGGTGCACTTTCTGAAGATTGCTCCAGCTGGGATACTTCTGCTTCATATTGTGCAGTTGAACCTGGTTGTCTAGGCAGTTCAGGTTTCCCTATAAAATAGATTTTAAGCCAGAATCCTTAGAGACAAACTTCTAAAACTCAATCCTGGTCATAGCAGCTGGTATTTGACTTGCAGACTGACTGCTGTAGCAGGACAACTGTCATCAAGTATCTGCAAAGGCAAATTCCCGCTCCCACTTTCCATCTGACATTACCAATACTGTTTCAAATGTAAAAGCTGGTAAGACCCTATTTTCAACTAAAATATTTAATTAAATCAGACTCATAGCAAAACACTCAAGCATTCTATTTACATTTGCAGAAAAATGTAATTAATTTGCACCAACCATCCCCTAAAATATGTAAGAGCTATGAAAAACATTTGCAATAAGGAACAGAACATCAGAAAAGTGCAAATATGGCTATAGAAAAAACCCAGAGTATAAAGCCAGAGAAGAACATGGAGTAGCTAACAAACATCTCAGAGGAGTTAAATAATACACTGTGTGCTGTATTAACTACTGCTTATTTAAATTTATTGTTTTACTGAGATCAAACATTAGAGACTCCTGTGTAAGACTGAGTTGGGCTGAATTACCTACTGGTGTATTATCTCCCCAAAAGGAGGTTTCCTCAATGCAAACAAGAAGACTCCCCAAATTAGTAAGTGTTCATCCACTGTTTGAAAAAAATGGGGTGAATGATAGGGAGAAACCTATTTGTCTAAATCTAAATACCAAACTGGTAGAACACTTTCTCATGCTGCTTCCCCACACTCAGTTGTAGCTTACAGAGGTGCTGAAAAAATAGTCTGTCTCAGAAAACGTACTTGAAATATCATGATTAATGAAGTAATGCAAATTCAGTTTTAATAAGGCAAGTTTTATAAAACTAGTTCACAGCAGTTGCTCTTGTTCTATTCCCTTCCCACCAGTTTTTAGAAATATTTTCACTGGAATTTGAAACCCTTGTATTACATTCATCAATCAGAAAGTGAAAGGGACTGAAAAAAAAAGAGTAACTGTTACTGATACTCATTATCAGTGAAATACCTTAACTGTAGAGAGCTGAGTTGTGTTCACACTAGGATTCTTAAAATCCATATACACTAACTTAAAATAAAAAATTACCTAAATTATAACACAAACCAATATAACCTGCTAAAAAATATATAAAACAGAGCAACTACCTTGTATCTAAAGAACTATAATTAAGCTGTACCATATTAAGAGTAGAGAGTAAGATCACATGTGTGGTGTACTAAAATCACCACAATAATCTCCATCATGCTTTTTATTCTGAAAAAACAGAGAAAGCTTAAGAGCCTTAATGAAAATGTCAAAGCTAATCACTGATACCAAGAGAAGAAGAAAGATACTGAAGAGCATCAATTGGAATTAATGCAGGCATCTACAGATGAAGTACAGAATACATAGTATTAAAAAAACTATATATCTGCTGGACCACATCAGGAAAAGTTGAGAAATTTAATTACAACATTACTTGTCTATACATAAGAAGGACCTCAGTAAAAATATTTTTAGATAAGACCACTTGTGAGGAATGCTCAGATGATTTTAAGTTAAATGATAATAGTGCCAGTTTAGCCAAATAGTTATTTGAAGACGTTCTGCCTACAAATCCTGGCTGTCACAATTCCATTTTCTAAAATCTCAGCACATTCATAGCTTTAAAGCAAGTATATTAGAAACTTTATCATGTTCTCTAATTTTTCAAGAGATTCATTACCAAATTTTGATAAAATCTCTTGTTGTTCCTCTCGGGTAGAGAAAAGAATCTTGGGATTCAGTCCCTTTATATTCATGTTATCCCACGGTGGCTGCTCACAGCTAGGTCTATCTCTGGGCTCCACCTCTACTTCCAGATTGACTTGAAATAAATCAGGATATTTTTCTTGTATATCACAGGCATCCAGATCATATCTGCAAAGATGCATACAAGTAGATTAATGATACTCATGGCTAACTAGATTAAATTCACTGCAGTCCAAGTATAAGGTTTAAAACATGCTGTATTTGTTTACTTTTTACATATATTTTAAACAGGTGGTATTTTGGTACAGAAATTTTTTTTTTGCATCATAAACAAAACCTTCAGTTTCCTTGAAGTGAGAAAACAGAAGAATCTTGTTATTGAAATCAAAGTTCCTAATCACTTCCTACACTGACTATATTTCCTTCCCCCGCCATATATTGGTTTGGCAGGTTAGTTTCAAAGAAAAAAGCTTCTAGTCTCCTACAAAAGGGTGACAACTTACTTGGCAAATTTCACTGTGGTGGCATTTCGAGGTACAAAACCTGTGTGGAACTGAATCTGAAACATCTTCATTGAAGCCATCTGATGAAAACGAGAAAACAAGAAAACTGCATAAATTCACATGAACAGTAGGCACAGTGTTCTGCCTTTAGTATAATGCAAAGTATTTTCAGTATTAAAATATTTTAAAGTGTTTGTTTTGCTACCATTTCAGTTTAATTCTATGCATAGCTTATCTTGAGAGATTTAAATGCAGTTTAAGACAGAACAGATAAATCTATTACTACCAGAAACACACCAAAAGACGTTGACCTGATATCTCTCATTATTAACTTCAAAGAGAATCATAGAATCATAGAATGGTTTG